TATACAGATCAAAAGTAAGTATGTACAGATTTTAGTGGAGTGTTTAAAAACAATAATGCTTAAAAATAAAATTGAAGTGTTTACAGATTAACCATAACAAATTACAAATAAAAAATAAGAATTAAGAGCACACTCCAGTACTTACTTAGAGAACACTCCAGTATTTACTTATAAACAGCAGGTATTTCTCCAATAGAAGATGTCCAGCTTTGAGGAATCAAGTTTCAGGGAAGTACACCTCCAGTCTCGGGTAACATCACTGCAGATGTGTTCTTTTAGCACCCACATAGGGTGAAGTCAGTTAAAAGGGGCCACTCTCTGGTAAATGATTTATAAAATAATTGAAATGAGCTATATATAAGACCTAATGATATTTTTAGGAATTGGTATGAGCCTTTTAAACATGTATTTGTTCAAACAATGTGAAAACTATTTTGGTGTTGTGAGAGTTGGAGTATTAGCAGGTTCACTCTTGAGCTACAACAAAAGCTTCAGGTAAAATGGGCCGATATTAAGAAAAAGGAAAGCACAGTAATTTCAACTGTAATCATTTTAACAGTAAATTGATATAAATTAGTGTCTTTGTTGTGTCATAGTAATAACACTGTGATAATAACACTGTAAATGCATTTCACAGATTAAAAAAGCTCAATGAATATTTCATTGTAAAATGCATTTAAAAATGAACAGATTTTGTATGGGTGTATGTTTCTGCACAATGGTGTCTGTTGTGTGTGCATCTGTATGTGAGTTGTGTGTGTGTCTTTACGGGACTGTCTGCTGCTGTGTGTGTCTATGTAGGTGTAAGTGCATGCTTGTATCCAACATTTGCCAGATGTTTTGCTATGATTTAGCTGTAGCTTAACATCTCATCAGGTCTCACAGACTCCTAAGGTTTGAAGTTTTTACGTTTTTGAAGAATAGTTTCAACTGTGATTCTCATGTTTTTCCTTGTGCTAATGTTACTTTCTCCTATGCCCCAGGATTCCAGTGCCAGCTTCACCTCCAACCATCTTACAACTCAGCTCATTAAATTCAACCTCTCCAACCTGCTCAACTACCTTCCTGTCCCCTGCCTTACCCAGTGCCCCTCATTTCCTTCACCAGTTTCCACAATAAATCCACTTTACTGCAACATGCTATACTGTGTCTGCTTCTGGGTCCAAAACTACAGCCCTAAGACATGTCACAGGTCCTAGTGTCAGTGTGACGAAGAGCCCTTCGTTACTAGTGACTGATGGCTTTGGCCTTGTAAATATTGCACAACTGGGTCTGTGTATGAATGTCACTTTTAAACAAACAACTTAATTAGGCACTTTAATAATGGCACATGGCACTTTGATGGTGATAGTTGCACTTTATTAGCATGATTTGCACAGAGCAGTTTGCACATTGCATATTTGCACATGAGCTTTATTGAATATGTGAAGCATGTGGATGAACATTTCAAACCATGGTGAAATTGATGAGTAGTGATTGGTGACGTATGTTGTCTTCTGCCAGGTGCGGTTGTGGATGATCTGCTTCACCTGAGGAGGGGAGGGAGTTAGAGTAGACAATACTGTGTGTGTACCTACAAGGTTCATAATTGATAGACAACAGTTAAAATTAAGTGCTGTTGAGTTTTGGTTCATCAGACATAACATAAATGTGCTTTAATATTGCAATGTGAAAGTGTTCATTAGTGTGTTAAAGTTGCGGCCTGTGTTTGAGTTGNACAAAAACAACACAAGGGATTAAGAAGGTATTCTCTTAAAATAGAGACATGAAAGGTGAAAGTGTAATATACACTGCAAAAGTGTGATATGCACACTTGAGTCTGAGTGTTACACAAAGCATAACTTCAAAAAAATTAGAAGAACCTCTGCCCATATGGGATCCTGATTGGGTTTAAAATGTTTAAAATCTCAGCAGCTCAAGCTTGTGAGCACTGAACTTTCTATTATCATTATCAAGAGTACATGAAAACTGTGTTAGCAAAAGCCCCTAAAAATGTCTGGAAAAAATGTCTTGAAATGATATTCCTGTTCAGCTTTGACCTCACTGGATGCGTCTCTCCTCTCTCTCAGCTGGCGTGGTGAGTCTGTGACAGCGTGTACACAGTAACATCTAGGTTGCTATGGCCGTTACTAAGGAGGATCTACCTGCTGCTGGACATAAAAAGTAGCAGAAAGTGATGCCAACAGACCTCGGCGCAAGCGCGTTGGTCCTGACTGCATCACTGTAGTGCCAAAGCATAAAAATCAAGAACCATGAAGAACCGTTTGTACCTCACACAAACAGTGAGCTCTGTCAATAAAGGCAAAGTAGCTGTAAATGCATGCGTGCAAGCGCGCGCAGGCTGCCATCACATCAAGCCACATTAACGTGTTTGTCTTTTCCTAGAGGCTTTTCATCAAGTGTCAGTGACTGATCCTGGCTTAATGTGCAGTCTCTTGCTGCCATCTAGTGGCCCTGGCATGAAAACACATTTCAACTTCATCCTCTCAAAAATGACTGTTCTGAAGACATGAGCAAGATATGACTGCCAGTGTCAGGCATAGGTCATGTAAACAACATGTTTATTTATCATATAGGCCCTAAGCAGAGTATTATTATTGCACTTGAATATTTAAACAATGTTGAATGACAGTAGCCACAGTTATAACTGTGATTACTGTAATACTAAAAAAAAAACACAATCCAAACTATATGTTTTTAAGGCCAGTTTTTATTTTTTAAATTCTCTTTCCATTGTCCTCATTCCCGCCCCTCCTTTTCCCCCTTATCCATGCCATCAGCATCCATTAGTTTTAAAGACAAAGATAATAATTGTGTGACCATGTGAGCTGACAACAATGTCCTGTTTGGCTTCAGCACCCTAATCCATAGCATCAAGCACTCCCTTCTGCAGCTCCAACCTCCACCTCTCCTTCACAGGGAGTCTGAAGACCTCCATGCTGGGGCCCGGACCCCCTACATTGGTCTTCTCCTGGCCAGAAGGCCAGCAGTGGTCCTGGCCAAGGGCTTGCTATTCTGTGTTTAAAAACAAAGGACAACAGAAGTTTGTTTGAATTTTGTTGTAAGCAGATGCACATCTCTACATGACATACATGACCATGTAATCATCCATCCATAATAGGGTGACTTGATGCGGGGTCAGAGGTGCACTGACTCCAATGGTGATAGCTCTGCCCATCAAGACTTCATGGGGGCTAAGTCCCGTTGTGGAGTTTGACGTGCTGCGAATAGCATACAGCACTAGTGGCAGGGCATCAGGCCATTTTAGCCCTGTTGTCATCATAGTCTTTGTTAACTTTCCTTTGATGGTGGAATTCATTCTCTTCACTTGACCTGAGCTCTGTGGGTGATAGGGAACATGCAATCTCCACTGGATCCCCAGTATTGATGCAAGACTGAGTAATTTTTGCAACAAAAGCAGGGCCCCTATCACTATTTATTCCCATAGTTACCCCTAAATGCATTGATGTACCACAGAGGATGAGGAAACGGCTGCCTGTTTGGCTGCTGCATCTGAAAAACAAATACAAATAAGAAAATATCAAAAATATATTCTAGTTCATGTAGCTCTAGCTGTAGTGTTCATATTTGTTAAACTGGAGTGCCTTTACACCAGGAGGGACTTTCACAGCAATCTTGTCCTTCTGTTGGTCAAAAAACTGTTTAAGCATTCTATAGATGTCTTGCTTCAACAGAATAACAATTTTTAATTACTATTTTATGGCATGCACATAAACCACTTTTCTCACTTACACACTATCTTAAACCACCTGGGAGGTAAAACTGTTTATTTAGTTTTTAACTATTGGGTCACTAAGAAAAACGAACAGGACAGTTTAACACTGACTGAAACTCTCCACCTGTTCTGAAATTAATTGGTTAGTCTCTTGTAAAAAAAGACTGTAAAATAGCTTTTTCAAATATGAATGTGTTCAAGTTTCTATTTCAATAATAAAATCCCCTTTGGGTTAATTTTCTGTGAACTGTTTCATCTCTGTGTGATGTAAAATAATGAGCAGATCAGAGGAAACTGTCAGTTTATTGTTTTGTTTATTGACCTGATGATTTTAGAACAGATCAGTGACACAGATGTTTGTTAATCAGTTTAAACTTGAGTTTAGGAAAGATCCAGACGGTTCAGTTCTTCATGTTTTCATTGTTCAAATTTACACAAAACAGAAAAATGTCAGTGACGATACTAAAGAAGTACAAACAATGAGTTAGTGTTGGTTAATGAGTTAAAGTACTGATTAATGACAACAGTATTCAGCTAACTGATCCAAGATTGCAAGAAATAGTATAAATGATCTCTGGTTACACTATTGGTTTAGTATAGGTGATGTCAGGGACAGTCATCAGGGCTGGTGTGGCCAGGGCTGTTTGGCATACTGGATGGTGTCGAGTGCAGCTCCGATGTCAGAGGTTTTGGCCAGAAGGTGTTGTGTCATTTAAATTTTGTGATTTAAATTTAGACTCGAAGATTTTTATGTTTTTTAACTGAGTATACTAAACTACGACATTTTTATGACTTCTTATGCTATTTACCATACAACTGACCTTTGACCCCTCTCTGGCACCACCCTCACTGTTGCCTCTGTCCATCTCCACATTATCCTTCTTCTCTGTAACAGTTTTAAAACTTTATTATCTACTTTATTATTATTACTATTATAATTTGTACTTATTAATAATCATCTGATATGAACCATCAGTCACTGTTAAAACAATATCACAAAAAAACTTCAAAAGGTTACATGTTCATGTGGCGTCAGAAATATTTATAAAAACAGAATTAAATTATTTTTTGATGAAATATCTTCTCATAGGATCAGTTTTTTTTGTTTGTTTTTTAGTGATAGTTTTCATTCTTAAACCTTTTTTTCTTCACAGTACATCCAATACTCAGCCATAATCTGACTTTCAGAATAAAGGCGAGAAATTTAAATTCAAATACTCGGCAGAAAAATACAATGAAATTATAATTCATCTGTGGTTGTTTGATTTATGAAAAAGGAATCTCTCTGTTTGATTCATTATAAATCTGTATTTTCATTCAGTGGGTATAAAAAAAACTACTGTCTAATGATCCTGAACATGTTGGACATGTTTAACTCAAACAGCCATGAACATGAGGGTGAGTTTCAGGTGAGTGGATAACATGTTAGTACCTTTGATGAAGAGGCGGAAGGTGTCGTTCTTCATACAGGCCAGACCCATCATCAGTTCATCATCAGAGGAAAATGCCACCAGGTCTCCATCCTCATCTGAAAAAATAAACCATCATCACCATCATTCTGTAAAATCATCTTCACTCCAATGTGATGACATTGCACCACTAAAACTTCTCCATCTTTATCTGAAACACAAAATATTTTAGTGGCTTAAATATTTTATAACTTTCAGAACGAATATGTATATATATTGTACTACATATATATGTAGCAATAACGTTTAAAATGAATAGAGTAGAAATGTTAAAGAAAACAAAAAGCTAATTATTGTATTACATTGCTACAATAACATGATATAAAAGCTAATTATTACAGTTTTATCTCCACCCAACATGACCTTAGATATATAAATATCACATGATATTTAGTATATTTAGATAGTTAAACTCATGTTTGTGCAGATGAGATTAATATCAGAATAAGGACAACATAAATCTAATATTGTCTTGAAAGTTGTGAGGATCCTCAGATATAAAACATTCACCAATCTTTAGAAAAATCTAACCTGAGCCTTAAAACCAGAGCTCTGTACTGCGAATATTTACTGAATATTTACTACTACAAATATCATCTAGGTGCTGGAAAATCCATTTTATACTACTACAGCTGAAACAGTAACACATACCATAAGAATAAATCTAAGTAACTCATTCATTTCATGAAAAAAAAAAAAAAAATTATAGTCAGATCTGCCCTGATGAAAATATTATACCTTGCTCATTCACACATTCACCCATTTTTCCAGATGTCCTGCTGCTTTTAGCCTGAATATTTACTACAAACCTGAATAATAGTGCCATCTGGTGGTCATTTGCATACAGAGAAGTTGGATCTTTACAAGTTGGGTCAACGGAGAAGATGGAATATTGGACGCAATACACAATCAATGAAAAATTCAAAGGTTGTTGTTGGATTTTATACCCACTTTATAAGTACAGCATATAAAAAGACCCAACATAGACCCCAAAAACGCTAACCCTATGGAGCACCTGACCCAAAATGAAGAAGTAAAATGCTGACACTTGCTCTATATGACAAAGTGTCTGAGAAAGAGCAGGTGAAATTGGGACACTTTGCCTATGGAGCACGTGACCCAAAATGAAGATGTCCACCGTGGTCCTGGTACACAGAAAAAAAAAAAGAGTAATTTTGGGTCACGTCTTCCATCGGTAAAGTGTCCGAATTTCACCTGCTCGTTTTCGGGCACTTTGTAACCTCGAGCAAGTGTCCCAAAAACAAGAAGTAAAATTCTGACACTTGCTCTATATGACAAAGTGTCTGAGAAAGAGCGGGTGAAATTCGGACACTTTGCCTATGGAGCACGTGACCCAAAATGAAGATGTTCACCGTGGTCCTGGTACACCGAAAAAAAGAGTAATTTTGGGTCACGTCCTCCATCGGTCAAGTGTCCGAAATTCACCTGCTCTTTTTCGGGCACTTTGTTACCTCGAGCAAGTGTCCCAAAAACAAGTAGTAAAATTCTGACACTTGCTCTATATGACAAAGAGTCTGAGAAAGAGCGGGTGAAATTCAGACACTTTGCCTATGGAGCACGTGACCCAAAATGAAGATGTCCTCCGTTGTCCTGGTACACCGAAAAAAAAAGAGTAATTATGGGTCACGTCCTCCATCGGTAAAGTGTCCGAATTCCACCTGCTCTTTTCGGGCACTTTGTTCAGGTAAAGCACTCTAGGTGTAGGCCCTGGTTCCTGGAGCCCACAGGGGCCCTCTGTCCTTGTCTTAGCCCAGTGTGGGGCTCTCAAGTGTGGGTAAAGCACTCTGGTTGTAGCCCCTGGCTCCTGGGGTAAAATTGGGCCACTTTTGCAAGGACAAGAGTGTCCCCTTCTGACTCCATCAAATCTGCCTGTGTCAAGTTCAAATACAGCAAGTTGACTTCTCCAAATTGGGACACTTTTTCAATGAGAAGAGTGTAGCAACTCATAATGTAATAACGCTTCATAATGTAATAACAGAAATGTAATAAAAGTTGATAATGTGTTAATTGGCTCATAATGTAATAACAGCTCATAATGTAATAACAGCTCATAATGTAATAATGGCTGATATTGTGAGAAAAAGTGTTGCATTATCATCATTTTTAGGTCAAAACTGCACACACTGACAATGAGAGTGCACTTAAGGGCAGAGGTCTGTGTTTGTGTTTGACTATGATTTGTTTATAGATGGCGCGACAGTAACCAACTCAAAAGCCGGCTGGAGAAGAGGGTGGATTAGGGAAGAAGGAGGGGGACTGCAGTTCATGTACTTTAAAATGGCATTTCCTTTGTTTACTATTGCTACAATAAATGCAGGACACAATAACGTCTACAATAAAAACACATTTAAGATTGGTCTTTTCAAATAACACGAGTGAACACTCTCTCCTTCCATACAACCTAGTGAAGACCTTCCAGTCAAAATGTTGCTGTTATTTTATTGTTGGTCTTAATGCCAATTTAAGTAAGACTTTTAATAAGCATTGTTTTCCTACTACTTACGTTAAATACATGATAGCAGCGTAACATATTAATTCAATTTACTTTTTCTTTTAACTTGTGCAAGAATGAGAAGAGCGTTTTAGAACCATGTAATAACAATGGACCAGCTCAAAAGTTCTTAAAATGTAAACACAGCCTGTCAGGACACCCAAGTAAAAACAGAAGTCCAAATAAATGTATCTAAACAATATGCATAAATAATACATAACCATAAATCATAGTTGCCAACAAAAATCAAGTCCAGGGGGCTCCATTTGTCAGTGACTGTGCCAGTGTTCACTCAGATCAAGGCTTAACAAGGTTCTTCTAGTGGCTCAACTTTATACATCTTACATAATAAAATGTGAGAATGCAATTATGATTAAATAATTCTTGGTTTCACTAATTTAGTTAACTATGCACTGAAACCCATGTCGTTTGCTTTATTTGCACCTTTATGATGTAAAAACTATGATAATGCAACACTTTTTCTCACAATATGAGCCATAATTACATTATGAACTGTTATTACATTATGAGCTGTTACTACATTATGAGCTGTTACTACATTATGAACTGTTATTACATTATGAGCTGTTACTACATTATGAACTGTTATTACATTATGAGCTGTTATTACAATATGAGCCGTTATTACATTATGAACTGTTATTACATTATGAGCTGTTACTACATTATAAGCTGTTATTACATTATGAGCGACGCCAGTAAGACTCATAATTTAATAGGTTATTACATTATTACATTATGCACAAAGCTGTCATTACCTTATACGCTCATGATTTTGTTACATTATGAGCCGATTATTACATTATGAATTTTTATTACATTTCTGTTATTACATTATGAAGCGTTATTACATTATGAGCCATTACACTTTTACAATGACAAGAGTGTCCCATTCTCACTCCATCAAATCTGCCCCATGTCAAGTCCAAATACAGCAAGTTGACTTCTCCAAATTGGGACACTCTTTCAATGAGAAAAGTGGTCCAACAGACACTTTTTTTTTTCAATTTGGGACACTTTGCCCCCAAACCCCTCCAAAACTGATGAAGTCAAAATGGGACACTATTCTTATTGAATTAGTGGCCCAATCTGAAGAAGACATTGAAGTTTTAAAATGAAATAAACATACCCACCTACCATATCGAGCGCTGATCCACCGCCTCTGGTAACCACGTCAGGTGCGGTCCTCTGGTAACCTGTAAAGAAGATATGTTTTGGGGGCACTTTGGTTAGTCTGTGTGATCTTTTTGCTTCTGAATATGCCCAGACGCAAAGAGATCGCTGGGGCTGTAAGCCCCCACGCCACATCAAGGCAGTGCCCATGTGGAGGTTCAAATGTTTAATTAACAACAAATTTATTAACATCAACAAACAACAACAAACATCACACAATTTACAAAATTTACAGAACTATTTACAGAACTACTCTGATTAAACATATTTACAAACATCACACAATTTACAAAATTTACAGAACTCTAACTACTAACAACTATTTCCTACAAACACAAATACTACTACTTAAAACTAACTAAACTAACTGAAACTACTAAACTAAATTACTAAACTAAACTACAACTATTCCGTGCTGATGGCCCACTATTCCTTGAAGAGGTCTTTCAACACGACCTGCGCCATTATTTTTTTGCCGAACGAGGTCCTCGGCTTGGCAGGCGAGCCCTTGGCCGGGTTCAGCATCCTCTTTTTAATTCTGTCCGCCATCACTACAGTCAGACTCTTCTTGGGAGATGGCTGTAAGAACAAGAGCAGGTAAGCACAGGGCTCAGAATCATTGAAAATTCACTGTGTTGTGATTGTGATTATAAGGTTTGGACCTACCAACGTGGCGGGAGCTGAGGACGTGCATGGAGCTGAGGATGTGGGGGGGGATCTGCCACTGGCTTCTGGTCATCCAGGGCTGTCCACACAAAAAGTTGCCTCATTCTGCTTGCCAGGGCCACAGTATTGTGAAGGGCGTAGAACCTTTCCTGGGTCGCCACTGAGTGACACATAAACTTGGCCACTTCTGCCCTGGCCTCAGCGGTGTTCTGCTCAAAGTTCTAAAAAGAGAAGATCAAAATTGGCTCAGTATTGATTACATTGACTAGGTGGAAATCTAGTGTACGGATACTGTGATACTCACATATGCGGCCAATACCCACATATGTGGCTACAGCACTTCTTATGTCCAGGAGGGATGGACTGCCCGGAAGACCCATCTCCACCCACGCCCTTCGGACATATCGGACCATGTCTTTTGCTTGTCCACATCCAAATGAGCTGAAGAAATAACTGTTTGTTGCCACTGTCGTCTTCTCTCAATGTCGTCTGAAATGAGAGAGAATAGAGAGGTTACATTATATCTGCATAATTATGTAAATGAAAAGAGCAGTGTGTGTGTGTGTGTGTGTGTGTGTGTGAGAGTGTGAGAGAGAGAGAGAGAGAGGTAGAGAGAGAGAGAGAGAGGGGGGGGGGGGGGAGAGAGAGAGAGAGAGAGAGAGAGAGAGAGAGACAGACAGACAGACAGAGAGGGAGAGAGAGGGAGAGAGAGAGACAGAGAGATGAGAATATTCAAATGATTTTGAATAGGAAACAAAGGATGAGTATGAGTTTACCCAGGAGCTGGGCGTCTTAGCTCTAGGGAGGGACTGGCAGGTCGTGAGCAAGTTCCGGGTCACCAGCCGCAACTGCTTTGCCTGCTTGACAGCGGACTGGTGACTCAGTTTCCGTCCGCCCCACCAGCCTCAACACCTTCTTCAGCTCCCTGTGTATTTGCCGCAGCTTCCCTTTGTGGACCCGGCAGTGGTGGGGGGGAGTGTCTGTCATATATTCGATGAAGCCCAGTGCATGGCCGATGTAAAGTGGAGGGCGCCAGACCAAATTTCCTCAAAAAGGAAGGGTATCTGTGGAAAGAGCAGTTTGGATTTAGTTTCTATAAGTCTTGTAATTACATTACTCTGCTACTGCTTTCAGAGTTCAATACTTACACTTTTATCAGCTGTACGTTGGCGATAAACTCCCACGTCCAGCAGGTGATGTCTTTCCATCCAATCATCATGTACTTGACGAATGCCTTTGCCCTGGATGCCTTTGATATGGCGTTCTGACGGATTTTTGATGTTCCCTCAGGCACCAGGACAAATCTGTATTCGTCCATGTACGTTTCTGTAAAGATAGAACAAAGATGTGATGAACATAGCATGACACCCCTCCACACACCTGCACACATAGAAAATGTGTTGTTTCTCACCGATGGAGGGAGGGAAGGAGAGCTTTCTCATCTTGGAGGCCTTTGAGCAGCCTCCAAAGATTGGAGCTAACACCTTATACAGGCTCGACGTCTCTTGGATAATGGTGGGTGCATCCTCCTGTTACAGAACAAATCACAGGAGAGAAATGTAAAATGTGTTGTTTAGCTTTGTTAGTAAATATAATTTAGCTTCATTCAACATTTCTGCTCTCTAGTCTCACTCACATCTTCACTGATGGCTTCCTCGCAGTCGTCCTCTTTCCCCTCCAGTATTTCAGCGACAATGGCTGAAAGACCCTTCTTCATCGCCTCCTTGTCTTCCTGTAACAGAAAATGTGCAACATGGCATGTCATTATTACCAGTTAATACAAAATAATATTGATTTTCAAAGAAGACTTAAATGGCCCAATGGCAATTGCTTTGCAGTGGATTTGGGGCCCGGGGCCCACAAGATGGGATACACTGAAAAACATGATTTCACTCACATCGGACTCTTCCTCCTCCTCTCCCGAGGCTGCAGACAAGCTCTTTTTGGGCTTCTTGCTCGACGAAGGAGCTGAAGGAGCCGGCAAGCTCTTGCTCTTTTTGGCCTTCTTGGTGGGTGCTGAAGGACCAGATGTGCTCTTCTTAGGTGCGGAAGAAGGAGTTAGAGAACATAGGAACAGAAAGCTGCAACACAAACTTTTGTGAAATACTTGATTGTTATATATTTATTTTTCTCTTCTTACCTTCTTCTCTTCCATCTCCCTCTGTTCCTCCTCCTTCTCCTCCTCGCTCTCCTCCATCCTCTGCTCCTCCTCCTTCTCCTCCTCCTTCTCCTGCTCACTCTCCTCCTCCGCAGCATTGCTGCTAACCTGATCATGAAGAAAGAATGATAAAGCATGTTTGCATTAAATGTGTAAGCATTGAAAAATAAATCAAACCTTACATTTCATTCTAGTATAATCTAACCAAAGGAGCTGCAGCCTCCTCCTCCTCAGCATCAGCACCACCGCTGGTGTCGCTGCCGCTGCTGCTGCTTATGATGACCTGATCATGAAGAAAGAATCACCAAAATGCACATAAACACACCAGAATGAACATAAAACAGCCCAAAATACACTCTTCTATGCTCATACAGTGAAAAGGCGTCGAGTGAAAGCTTTCTAAAGGTCTTTTGCAACTTAATTAGACCTCTTGAAGACCGTCACACTCCCGCACGCATCTTTAATAGGTCATATTTTGGCAAAAATGCTTCAAAACACACCATAATTAACAGACCTCACAATAACATCACACACACACCTCTATGCATATACAGTTGAAAAACGTTGAGTTCCAAAGAAATGCATCAAAACTGACTATAAAACATATAAGTTCATATTTTCACCAAAATGCACAAAAACACACCAGAATGAACATAAAACAGCCCAAAATACACTCTTTTATGCTCATACAGTGAAAAGGCGTCAAGTGAAAGCTTTCTAAGAATGTTGGGATCTAAATTACCCTTCGTCAGAAGGGGCTTTACCACTGCCGTTTTGAAGGCAGCAGGGAAGACACCCGTCTCAAGAGAGTAATTTATTATGTTTAAAATAGCATGCATTTTTTCATCTGCGTAATATTGCAAAAATTAGGCCTATCCTGACCCAAAAAGGTGCAGAAAAATTGGACCACGCTTTTGTTACCTCTAGGTTGGATTACTGTAACACTCTATTATCAGGTAGCTCTAGTAAGTCCTTAAAAACTCTCCAGCTAATTCAGAATGCAGCAGCACGGGTACTAACAGGAACTAAGAAACGAGATCATATTTCTCCTGTTTTAGTTTCTCTGCACTGGCTCCCTGTAAAATCCAGAATTGAATTTAAAATTCTACTGTTAACTTATAAAGCTCTAAATGGTCAAGCTCCGTCATATCTTAGAGAGCTCATAGTGCCATATTATCCCACCAGAACACTGCGCTCTGAGAACGCAGGGTTACTCGTGGTCCCTAAAGTCTCCAAAAGTAGATCAGGAGCCAGAGCCTTCAGCTATCAGGCTCCTCTCCTGTGGAATCATCTTCCTGTTACGGTCCGGGAGGCAGACACCGTCTCCACATTTAAGACTAGACTTAAGACTTTCCTCTTTGATAAAGCTTATAGTTAGGGCTGGCTCAGGCTTGCCCTGTACCAGCCCCT